AAAAAAAAAAAAAAAAAAAAAAAGAAATATCAGGTAAGTGAGACTATCTTCTTCACGTTGTATCTACCAGTTGGCACACAGCTTCCATTTGTCCCACTACTGGTGATGTTCATTTAATCACTGGATTAAATAGGTATCTGCCAGGCTTTTCACCTATAAAGTTACACTTCTTCCATTTACACTGAGTCCTCACTTAACGTCCTCAGTAGGTTCTCAGTTCTTGGAAACTGTGACTTTAAGCTAAATGATGTACTGTATAACAAAACCAGTTTTACCATGAGCCATTTGGAATGAACAAGAGTTAAGTTCCCATGGCATACGATACATCGTGTGGCTTACAGTTGATGTGTTCAAGAACCTATTGAGGACATTGAGTGAAGACTTACTATATACTTAATCAATATTTATGAGGAAGACACTTGGAAACTATTTAAATTTCCTGTTCATTCAGATTTTGATTTCTTCCTTTATTTATAGCAGTGTGGACTAATGGTTTTCTATTTTATCTGAGTTATAATCCATCTGATGTTTAGACGTCCTGTGATGTGGCCAGTGGGAGTCCCTACAAGCTGGCTTCTGATCCCTTTGACATGTCTTCATTACTTCCTGGCTTTCTGGTACCACAAGATATTCCAGGCTACTTTTGTGTTTTTCCTGCCCCAGGGCTGGAATCAGCCATTTCTCAGGAAGCCCTGAGTCTTTTAGTGGAAAAATGGCATTTAGAAGTAGAGATCTAGGCTGGGTATCAGCTAGGGCAGGAGGATCGCTTATAGTTTGAGACCAGCCTGGGCAACACAATGAGACCCCATCTCTAAAACAAAATAGAAAAGAAAAAAAAAGAAAGAGGTAAAGATCTGAGGTCTAGGAACGCATATTGTCATGGGAGCAGTATGCAGCCCCTCTTAGGACAGGACTAGCTGTTTCTGTTGAGCTAGCTCTGTATATTGAAAACCATGAGCTGATCCTGTCACTTCCAATTCTAATTCAGCACTGCAGGATTCTTTCTAGTTTTCTCCCTTTCTATATTTGTAACTCCTGCAACAATAAGAAACCTCATTGCCACTATTTTCGGTATACTTATTTGATCAAAAAGCCACTGTTACCTCTTATAGCATAGGTACTCTGATCACCCTGTTCAGGCTCTGGGTGCCTCCCACCCCTTCCGCACCTGAGCCATGTCTCCTTGTGGACACCTCCTCCCAATCCTCAGCTCAGACTCCACACCACAAGATATTCCAGGCTACAAGACACACCAGGCCACCTCACACATGGTTTGCCCCACCCTGCTCGGACCCTGATGCCTCACAGTAGGATTTCACCTTCATGAACATCCTTCTCACCCCACACCAGGCTTTCCCCACAGATAGAAGCTCTGTTTATTCTATACAGACTCTTAACATTCCTCGCCAGCCCACCCCTCCTCATCCTGCTAAGACTACCACCTGCCTGCATGAACACTCCTGGAAGTT